TAAGCCACAGCTTTTTAATATGGTTAGGAAGAAACTAGCCTGCTCTTGGAAAACTTAAAAAAGAACAAAATAAAACAAGTCTGTCTTCAAAGTTAAGGTTTCTTGCCAATATCCAAATTAGAAACCTATAGTTAAAAATATGATAAATTTTCAAAACATGAAATGAGGGTGGGGTGAGGGAAAGGGAGAGAGAGCTCAAAAATTAAATGAAATAATTCTCTGCAAAGACTTAATCTGCCATTCTAGGCATGGATTTATCAAAGCCTCGTTTCTGACGCATTTCTTCATCCATCTGGTCACTGACTTGCGGTTTTTAAAATGGTTGAAAAAGGCAAATACTAAAAAGAAGTGAATGAGCAAGCTGCCTACATATGTTTTGCTTGAAGGCATACTTCCTTGAAAGCATAATGGTATCTTTTCTTTACTTATCTGCTAAATAAGTATGCCATATGTTCTGGTGGCACACACTGCACATCTTTACTTCCTCTGTTTCTGCGGATTGAATTTTGTGCATGTCAAAGGTGATGACATTCTCAGCTGTAAATGGTAGTTTTGGCATGTGCAGTTTATTTTCTCTATCTTCTAAAGTGTTGAAAATAGGAGGGGAGGAACTCCAAATGTGAAGCTGCGGTTTTAAAAGTAATTTCCTTAATATGAATCACACCTGTGATGATTGTAAAAAAATAAAATAAAAATAAAAATGAACTGTTCCAATGAGTAGTCTAGAACATGGTTTAGCTTTCACCAGTTTAATTGTCATGTGAATAGGGAGTTAGAACGTATCTTGCCCTACAGCACACCTCTTTCTGAGGCTTGCTGGGCATCTTTTCAAAAAAGAATAAAAAATGTGGATTTGGTACACATTCAAGCAAATGTGGGTGTGTATAAATGAATATGTAGTCTTGTTACATATTCATGTGATTATGCAAATATGCTCCACCATATCCCTCTGAGTGTGTAGTATTTCAAGTATACTTCCTATGTATGATATGCCAAGTGCTCATGCAGTTCAAGTACAGTTGCCATTGCATATATTTTGAGTACCGTATTGTCAAATGTTGGCTAGGGATTGTGCAGCGCTAACTTAGCTTATATTGTGATTCTTTATGTTGCAAGGCACCTCTAACCTGCTTTCTGGAGAAAAAGAGGAACTAATTTGATAATTTAATTTTCATAAACTTTAAACTGTACAGATTTGTTCACTAATGTGAACAGTATTTTAGATTCCAGGTTACTATTTGAATTTGTAGCCAGAATGTATTAATAGATTGCATCCTATGGTCTATGGAGGCTGGCCGATGGCATTGGGATTAGAATTGTAGCCTCCAAGAGTGTAACTCCTAGTATCTTTCCATTCCAATAACTAACAAAAGCAGTCTTTTTCTATAGGAACTGTCACTTCCTTTTGTTTCTAGGCAGATTGCTGACTTGCATTCAGTGAATCACATTTCTGTTTGCAGGATAGGAAACCTCTCAATCCATAGTTCTGTTTCCTTGAAAGAGGTGTTTTTCTCTTTCTTTCAGAATTTCAGATTTCAACAACTCTGAATTTTTTTTCAGCTTCTTACTTCTCCATTTGAAAACCTCTTCTTGTGAAACCTGAATGTTATTAAAAATAAAGTAGTAGATGGAGGAGTGTTGCACTGGCTGAGGTTGCTAAGTAAAACAGTGCAATTTGATGACTACTTTCAGCCCTCTTCTTGCTGTCTGTATTTTACCCTGCTGTCATTGTTGACACATCTTGACAGTTTCAGTGACCTTTCCGAAAGACAAGTTTGGACATCTAACAGACAAAGGAGGAATCTGATCCTTGGTTACATTTTAATCTGTTTTTATACAAGGAAATATCCTTTTTTTTTTTTGCTTTCAGGAACTAGTTGTGAAGGTTTTACTCTTTCTCCATGAAGCAATTGTGAAATGGTTTAACAATTAACTATTGATTTTAAATAAATTGTATAAATACAATACAAATAAATAAATAATTGTATGAAAGAATTGGCAAGTATGAATCACCTACTCTGAATAAGTAAAATTGCTCGCTAGACAGTTTAAACTGAGAGTACTCAACTCCCAGCCCACAGAGCTATGCCATATGGCCCACAAGGCTCCCCACGGGTACAAAATTTTGCCAGTAGGTAATCTTTGGCTGCTCCCCTCCTGCCAAATTTCCAGACCCTTGGGGAGCCTCAAAGGCTAGCTTGCAGGGTCCTGTGCATTAGATTGTGTGCACAACTAGAGGTGCACCGATATCGGATCGGCACCGATATAAAGAAAATAGATTGTATCAGATATCGGCCTGATGTGGCCAATAATTTGGCTGACAAATGCCCATGCATACACGCAGCCACAGTGCAGCGTGTAGGCAGCGAGGAGCACAACTGGACATCTTAGAGAGCTGCGTGCAGCTGGTAAGTCTGTTGTAGTACATGGGAGGGGAGGGGAGGGTCGTGGGAAGGGGCAGATCAACACCCCCCACAGTGACAGAGGAAGTGGGGCAGGGGCTAGTGTTGCTCAGCTGGGGCATGGAGCCACAGCTCATCTGGGGGGCAGCTCCCACTGCTGCGCACATCCCCAGGGGGTGGGGAATATGCCCCAGATCTGTGTGGGGTGGGGTGGGGCAGGCTGCAGCCATGGGCTGGGGCTGGGGCTGTGCTGGGCTATTCCTGGTGCGTGGAGGCTGTGCTCAGGGCTGCAGGGCCATGCTTGTCGCCGCGCTCCCAGTGTGTGGGGGCTGCATTCAGAGTGAGCAGCGGTGGTGCTGTGAGGGGGGGAGGGGCTGCAGCCACCCCAAATTTTTCTGTGGCCCCCCCCCCATAGTCTCCTCCTAGTGCTGCTGCCACCACTTGCCCTGAGCACAGCCCCCATGTGCCGGGAAGAGCCCAGCACTGCCCCAGGCCCTGTACCACTCCCTCCCTCACCTCACCGGGATCTTGATCTGTGCCCCCATGCCCCTTCCCTTTCCCATCCACCACAGCAAACTTACCAGCTGCACAGAGCTATATCAGAAATTGGATCAGTATCAGCTGATATGCCTCTTTAAAAATTATTCGTATTAGCCCCAAAAATCTCTATCTGTGCACCCCTGTGCGCAACCTTACCAACACATTTTTAATAAAAGCCTTGCAAAGGTGAAAATGTAGTCGGGGAAGATCAGCTGCCCACTTGTGGAATAAGAAAAGCTTGCATTCTTAGATTGTGTGCACTTTCAAAACGGGCTTTCTTTTAGAAAAGTCTTTCTCCTGCTGTGATGGAGGAGCCCTGAGACTACTTGGCCTGTCATTGATCTTGCTGCGATTTAAGGAACTTGTGTAAATGAAGAGTGGTCTAATACGGAGTTTCCCAACCTTTTTCGCCCCATGGCACACTTTCCTAAATAAAAAAAATCACCGTGGCACACCGGATGCAGAGCAGGGCTGGGGGGGCATGTTGGATTGCAGCCACCTGGACACCAACCGGGGGGGGAGGGTGCACAGCCAGCTGGATGGCATTTTGGGCTGGAGCCGTGCCCCTACCTGGCTGGAGCTATACTCCCCATCTGTCTGTGTCCACAGCAGGAACAGGCGGGGGAGTGTGGCTCCAGCCCAAAATGCCACGGCACACCTGGACGTGTCTGATAACACACTGTTTTGGGAGTTGTATGATATTTTCTTGCTGTCATATTTAAGGAATTGATCCATTCAATTAAACAAAAAAATTAAAGCCCAGTTCCATCTTCTCTTTAATAAGCCTGATGAGATGTGACTGCTGTGTTGAATTTAATGCTTACATGTTTCCTTGTTGCTTTCGCATATATGAGTTCCTAGACACAACCTCTAGACAATTTCCTATTGGGAAGCAATGAAAAGTTTACTATCTGCACCTGGCAGCTTGAAAGCATAGTAATGAATGACTCAATAAATAACAATACATCTACTGAAGTTAAAAAATTGGCAAATAGTTCCAGCTACAATGTGGCTGCACATATTCCTGGCTAAAGAGGCATTATTTCGAGAAAAATGAAGCAAATGATATGGGTATGCTGTTCACCCCTTTTAATCCCCTCCCACCCCCTTCCCCTCTGCTTTTTACTTGTATGGCTTCAGGGTCAATGAGGGAAAGCTAACAGAGAATGAAAATCTAAGAACTTTTTGCTTCCATCGAGGTAGTTGTATGAAATGCTTGGATGACTGAATTCATAAGTAAGTAGTGTAAAAATCTTATACGGTGGAAGTGGAAAGATCTGAAGACATAATATTAGAGTTTAGCTGTCAGCTTCCTACATATTGCCAGTGCTTAAAGGTATATGTTGCTGAATGGCAGACTTGCAGATTCTGTTCAGCTTTCCTCACAACAGTTCTTGTGATCTGACTCTCCCTTCCTCAGTTTTATTTTCTTCTTGTGGAGGGGTATGGGTTTTGTGGAGTGGAGAACTGTTTCAGTTCATGCCTGCTACAGGGACTCAAGCAGGATGAGTCATATAGACCAAACCCAATGCCACATCATAAATGAATTGCTCTTTCTGTGAATTATGAATCATTCCTGAAGAATGTACTTTGTAAAGACATACATACAGTTTGTCATACATACAGGTTGTCATGAGTGGACTGGGTTGGTCATGAGTGGACTGGGTTGGTACTAGGCTACCAGTTGTACTTAACTGTTTGTACAGACTTTTTAAAATAGAACATTGGAAAGCTTAGAGCAAAAGCTATGTCCCAAAATAGTCTTTAGTTTAGCTACTCATTTTTCTCTATTATAACCCCCCTCATCCATAAAACTGTTGTCAGAACAGGTTGAGATCTTATGAATTTGATTTCTTAATTTGCTGTGTCAGGGTTACTACCAAATACTGTGGCGCAGTCCATTTTTATTTAAAGTATTCCTTACCTGACAACCAAAAAAACTGAGAACAGGGTTAGCAATTGAGTTTAGAAGTCAAACCTTTATCTCACTTTTACTGTCAGCTCATACTGTAAGCAATCTTTAATAAAGTGCTATTACCTGATGTATTCTCTCTCCAGGCTATGACTTCTGTCAGGTCCTCCAATGGTTTGGTGAGCGAGTAGACCGCATTATCCTCCTCTTTGATGCCCATAAACTGGATATTTCTGATGAGTTTTCAGAGGCCATTAAGTCATTCCGAGGCCAGGATGACAAGATTCGGGTGGTGCTTAACAAAGCTGACCAAGTTGATACACAACAGTTGATGAGGGTCTATGGTGCGCTCATGTGGTCCTTGGGAAAAGTGATTAACACTCCGGAGGTGTTGCGAGTCTACGTCGGTTCTTTTTGGGCCCAACCTCTTCAAAACACTGAAAATCGGAGGCTCTTTGAAGTAGAGGCCCAAGATCTCTTCCATGACATTCAGAGTCTTCCACAGAAGGCAGCTGTGCGAAAACTCAATGATCTCATCAAGAGGGCAAGACTTGCAAAGGTAAGATGCAAATAAAACCAATTTTGTTTTAATAAGGATTCTCTTCTACTTGTTTCACTTTTTTTTTTCTCTCTCTCCCCTCCATTTTTCTCTCCAGAAACCTGGTGTTCTCTGGAAAGAAAAAGAACTTAAGTCTACTATATACTCTTGTACAGGCTGTATTTTTGGTTGACTTCGCCATTAGAAGTCACACTTCCTTGGGTAAGGAGTTTTAATGCTGCTTACTGAAGATAACTAAATAGCTAGCAGCCAAAGAGATGATGAAGAAAACTCAAGATGTCCCTTCAGCAAAGTGACACTTTCATTATCTTCGTAACAGAAGTCAGAGTTCAAACACCATACTTGTCTGTCCATGTCCCCTCCCCTCTCACCTATATGCCCACTTACACATATTTTAAGGGCACATAACACTATTGGTTAATACTAGCACTGTGGCTAACCAATATTGCTATTATTAAGCAACTTCCCCTAAAACTGCACATACTGCGCATGTTGTAGTGTTTAAAAAGTAGCACTGCTGCTACAGCAAAACTTGCATTTATTCACTTAGCAAAATGGCTCCCATATCATTTTTTCCATGTTCCAGTCAAGCAAAAAAAATCTCTCCGTATTAAACCTGCTTTATCCTCAGTCCAAATCTTCTAGATAGAAGGTAATATGAGCTTAGTGTCCATGTCCAGAAGAAATTCCAGTGTCTGACGTATCAGGGAGGAAGAGAGTTGTAAGACCTTTTCTTGGAGGGCCAGGGTAGTCCTATCTGTTTTCAATTAGGGAAAATTGTATTTGCATGTGCAACCCAGGTAACTGGGCAGGCTGCAAGAGCCACCCGATTTATATATAACCTAGTTTGCCTTAGTAAATACTGAGATGTTGTGCATGTATACCAGGGGCGGGCAATTATTTTGGGCAGAGGGCCGCTTACTGAGTTTTGGCAAGCCATCAAGGACCGCGTGACAGGTAGCCGGGGCAGATAAATATTAATTTTCTAAGTTTTTTAGGGGCCTCGCGGGCTGGATAGAATGGTCTGGTGGGCCATGTCTGGCCCACGGGCCGCATTTTGCCCACCCCTGATGTATACAGATACATTTCAGAACTTTGTGGCTGTGGTCAGTGCTGCCTTTTGAACATGTGTGTGTAAATGTTGGTAAACTTCTAATTAAACCAGCATCTGCTTATTTGTAAAGCCTTCTGAATCCTCACCAAATGTTTTTTATGAATTTTAAAAGCCTTCTGATAATTACTTACACTATTCTTCATGAGTAACCTGCATAACGCCTACTTAACGCCTGTCTTCTGCTGTACATCTTTCATGCCTCGACACAAACTGAATTAATTAGGTGTCAACTGATGGGTCTCTAATGGTTTCTTTAAATAGTTCCGTCATAAACTGCTTTCATTATATAACATGGCAAGCCCAGTCAGAGTAATAGCAAAAAAATGCATCTGAATTCTTTTCTTTTGCATAACTCTCGGGACCGTTGAGTAATCAGTGTCAGGCACCTATTAGGCAGTCCAGCCTGGCCTACTTAACCTAGTTGCCTCTACCTGCTTGGTGTGTCAGACTAGTAGCCCTATCCCAGCTAATGAACCAGTTGGCCACTGGGGAGAACAGCCTACCCATTTAGTTCTGCCTATAGCAGCAGGTCAGTCAACAGTTCTTCTGAATGTCTGTTCTGGTATGGCTCTGATCCTGTACTCCTGAGTCTTCTCTGTTCCTGGACTCTGGCATGTTGGATATTCACCTTGGATCCGGTAACTTGGCCACTGACTCTTTATTCCCCCTGATTCTGGTTCTAACTCCTGATATATGCTGGCTCTGTGTCTGAACCTTGGTATACCCTGACTTGGCTCTGGCTTCTGGTATACCCAGACTTTGTCTCTGTTTCCCAGTTGGTTCTGACTTTGGCACTGGCTTCTAATTCTGTAGTCTTGATTTGGGCTCCATCCCTGATTTTTCTCTTGGATCTGGTAACTTGGTTGATTCCCCTGACCTCCTGACTCAGCTTGGGGTTTGGCTCCTATCCTTTCTCTCTGGCCTCCTATCATCCCCCTGCATTCCCCAGCAGGAA